TCCATTAATAAGTGGACATTTTGAAAAAAATCGACTCTATACTACACACTTTAAGAGATCAACAAAATCATAATATTTTAAGTCTTCAGGAGAGTCCAAGAAACTTTTGCACGAAACTTTTTTTCTATGGGTTTCCAGATAATTTAGTTCGTCGTTTTATTTGGCACAAGGTGTACACGGGGATATTGGAAACTGCAAGAGATACTTAAATGGAAGAAAAGTTGATAGTAGGCCTAAATTTTTTTTGACGCCATTTTTAGCATCGACATTTTAGCTCCTGTATTAATGTGGTTTTTGAAAAACATATACTTATACATACGCTACTTTTCTTTCGTTTAAGCGACGCTATATCTCTTACAGTTTCCAATATCCCCATGTACATCATCTTATACTGTATATATACAAGTACAAATGTATACATTTTAAATGATAACTACCCGATTAATTCTATTTCACTCTCGGAGTCATTCTTAAGATGAATTACAATTAAATACATGTTATTTTGTATGAAAATTTAAGAATCATCAATTTTTATAATGGAATATTATTAATTACATTTTTATTTAATTTATTACTCTGAGACTTCTGCCTTTACTCTGCACTGCTTGACTTTACTCGACGCCACAAATGTTCTATGAATTTGAAAATACAACAACATAGAGGAAGACGCAAAACGGTATGCTAAACTATTACCTATATATTATTTTTAATGGTATATAAGTTTAACACTTCCACTCTCTGGTAGCTGAATTCGAAATAAACATCGTTTTGTAACAAATATTTTTGAATTTTGGATTTTGTACCAGGAGATTGTGATCATTTGCGCTAACCATTACAACGATACTGGAGCCCTTATTTTGGACGGGTCCTAAAAACCAGTCTCCTAATTCCCTGTCCATATTCGACTTGTTCAAAATAGTAATAGTTTTAGACACCCTTAATATCGAAGAGGACGCGCTATAGTTTCTTAAATGTAATTTTAAATTCTTTTTAACGATTCAAAAATATACAGGCTACATCAAATTTTTTTTTATGTCCATTAAACTGTTAATTTTACAAACATTATACTTAGATTTGATATTTTAATAATGTTTTTATGGAAGCACAAAATATTTAATAGCAAAAAAAGTTAGAGCGATTTTCAACAAATGCACATTTTTCTGATTGCGAAAAGGCAAAAACGGATTTTGATAAACTAGAGAACGGAGAATTGTGGATGAACAATATTTTTGGCCCACCGTTTTTGTGTTATAAAGCCATATGTTTGTCATGCAAGAAAACAGTGATATATCGCTATTTAAAAAAACTTTTATAAGGCGCGAAAAATGAACATTAGACTATAAAAAAATGTACACGTCAGCGAATTCTACGTCAAAACATATAACAAAATCCACTGTTATCTATTGAGTAACACAATACATTTTCCATTATTCGGTTTCAAAATAAAAATTCTGTTTTCAAACATTTTTTTTAAAACTATATTTCAGTACAGTTCATAATAATAATGATGAAATATGAAATACAGTTTGCTTCCAGAATATAAGCTACGAAGAATATAAAGTATTTTTGCAGCTAATATTGTTCAATTCCATTCAAAATGCGAATAATTTTTTTAAACCCTGAATTTCATTTAAATACCAAACTTCCCAAACTAACCATAGCTAAGTCTAAAAGAGGTAATTTTGTTAATAAAAATGGGCAGAAGCAATTGATCAGGCAGACGCCCAAAAAAAGATGGAGATCCGTAAAAATGGGTGATCAATCTAGATGATGCTTAAATTACGAATTGCTGAATAAACGTAATCTATTCGGAGCACCGAGAAAAAATGCCTGTCAGTGGCTAAAGCTCTTAAAAAATTCTCATTCTAGAAGCAGGAAATCGCAATAGAAAATCCTATTCCCACCATTATTGAATCCAAAACGTCACTTTTTGTTTTCGCTCGCAGTTAATCTTTCACGAAATTTATGCAGAAGATCTCGCAGATACATAGCCTTTTTTGCCGTAATATTGAAGGATAGCAGTTAGATCGGCCTTGACATATGAACCCTCATAAGTACGGTAAAAGTTGACAAGGGTCTGACTGTTCATTTTAAAGGGAGGATTATCAAGGGGCATTTGCCTATCAATCAGTATTACCCAAAAAAGCAAACGTTATTAAAAAACCCTTTTTAGTCTTACGGCGATACATATAGCAGTAGTGCTCAAAATTTTACTGAAACAACTTCAGGGTTTAACGAAAAAAGGATAATGGCGCTAACTAACTGAATAGACGGTTACTAAGTTACAAAAATGCAACGCAATACTAATGTAATATAATATGGCGGCATTCTATGGAGGAAAAAGATTTCGTTTTGTAATCAATATTTACATTCAACGGATTTGTTTCGATATTCTTATAATCAATTTGATATTCGATATTTGCTTCAACGGATATATTACACACAGGGTTCAAAAAACTTATAGACCCGCAACATGTTTTTATTCGTTTTTAACCAGCACACCCAATTCTCACGTAGTAAAGTCCGACCTAGGATTCAGCACATGGAATATTGGAAGTCTCTATGAAACCGGAAAACTTGAAAGTGTTCAGGAAACAGAACCCAGGATCATGGAGTCACGACGTTGTTATATTTCACCACCCTGGTAACAACAACACAATAGAAATGGAGTCGATATTTTTATAAACATAATTTTAATTCTGCAGTGACATGGCAGCCCATTTGATATCAATATCTTGAAATATATGCACTTTCAGCAGAGAAAAAATATGGGAACGAAGTTGAGGTCTACTGCCAGCAGCTCAAGCTAAAAAAGTTTTTACTAAACAGACAGCTTCTCAAAACCATATGAAAGTTTGACCTCCACCTCTTCAAAGCTTTTACCCTGACCGACTGACTACGACTGTCATTCGAGTAGATAAACTGTCTGATATTAATCGGTAGAGGTTGGTCATTGGTATATATGCTATATAGAGTTGACGCCAGCACACTTCCCTAAAGTTCTTTCTATTGGTTTTTCCATCTTCTGTTTGCTCTGGAGTAGAGTATCAATCCTGCGGGTGAGGTAGAAGTTATGTGAACCTTTATAGATTTTTTTAAGCGACTGGCTGTAGTTAATTGTGTCATATGCTGCTGTAAGGTCAATAAATACAATACCAATGATCTGCCTCAAAGCCATCCTCGATAAAGTGAGCCAAATTAAATATCTGTCCGCCGCAGTTCTTGCCTGGTCGAAAACCGAATTATTGTGGGATAAACTTCTAATGAGAGTCTTTCGAACATCTTTCGAAGATGACTTCATTTTAGTTAAACTCTTTAATAATGTATACAATGTATACAATGAAACAAGTTGAGAAGTCTTAGGAGCATCATTCATCGGAGAATAAAGAGAAAATACGAAGGTGATCTGGATGAGACATGTTCACTTTAAATATACTTCTTCAAAAATATCGCGACCAAATTAAAAACAACTTATGTGTGCATCTTCCTGATTTCTTATTTGTGCTTTTATTCTTGCGAAAGGTTACCATCAAATCAACTTTAAAATTCTCTTCCTCGACTGAGCGAATACGATATTTCCCTCCAGAACTTAGATTTGCTAAAATTCCTTCAATTATGATTCTATCCAAGAGAGGTCTACTCCATTAATAGAAAAATGAAACATTTCCTATGATCATAAATAAACCATAATCAGCATCAAATTGTTGTGTGCCATAAATAAGAATCAAATGGTTACGATAACAACAACTAACTCCTCATCGGGAACAATTTCAAGTCGTAATATACCTAAAAAGAGAGTTGCGAACGAGAATAGGCATTGTGTTTAATAAGTTGTCAGTTATACAAAGAAGAAAAGAAAGGAACTAGGGCCAATAAGATTTGAAGAAGTGTGTTAGGCTTAGACTTATTACTTGGAAAAATAAAAGAAAAAATGTACAAACCCCTTATACATTCCGTCCGCTCTATGATCGGATTAAAACCTGATGCAGTAAATATGTTAAGTTAAAGTAGGTATACGTTCGCTATCACTGATCATGATGAAAATTACACAGTCTGCTGTTTCGGAGAACCAGTGCTTCCAGAACAAATAACGTTTTTATTTAGTTATCAAATCAAAAGTTGTGTTCGTTGATATGTGGAAGTTTTAGGCATTTTTTTATCTCAGACTCTATTAAACTATATTGCGATAATTACTGAGCTGTACTACTATGATTGTAATATTAGATAAATAAAGTGGCATTTCCTGAAAATAATTCCTAAGTACTTACCTACTCTAATTTTCTAGATTCATTTTTACATATTATTTCTAATTATATAAGTATTTTCTTGAGAATAACCAATAATTAATAATTACTAATTCATTTCAGTAATCCCTTTTACAATAAAAGGCCAAGTTAATTGGCCCTTGTGATGGATATGTTTCCATCGAAGCACACCGGGTTCAGAAGCGTCGAAATCAAATACACACACTATACTAAAGGAGTGTATTACTATACGTGAAAAAAAAGCAACAAATACAAATTGCATGAACCAGTCGTAACGACCCACGTCCATCAGATCAAAATCAAACAAATCAATAAAACAGAACGAACGTGAACACTGTTCGTTTCCCAAAAAGGAACTGAGACGGCGCTCCGCACGTCACTGCCGCACAGTACACTCCGACCAATTTTGACACCATTTTTATACTTACCGTTCATGATACAGATTGCCGAATTAAGTTTTAAATAAATAATTCTCTTAACTTGGCGGCGGAATACGGAGATGGAACCTCCGCACAGGAGGTCAATCGATTGTTCGATATTCCCGGTTTTTTCCCGTTCAACCTTTGACACGGTATTGTTGTTGATTTAAACGGTTTGAATTATGCATGAGAACATTGTGGTTTTTCGGCTTTCATGTTACGCAGCCACCGCCGCCTCCGCGGCGTGATGTATTGCCCCCCCGCTTCCAAAAGTGAGGAAAAGGAGAATAAAAGAAAATCTCGTGAAGATACTTACCCGGACAGGAGCCACAGTTCGGGAGTTCAGCCTGAAACAGAGGAGATTAATTAGCGGCTTTTGCGGATAAAAATATGGGCATCTGGGTTTTATTAAAAATAAAAAATTAACAACTGTTATTACTTAGTAACCTATATAATCAATCATATTTTCTAAAAATCAAGAAACTGTTACTAATTGCTATGGAAAACTACAACTATACAGCACTGTGAACATGTTCCAAATATTATCATGCATAGGGTGGCCGTTCATCTTGGGACACAACCGTATCTCAGAAACAATAGGGGATGGCGCCCAAAGTTACATACACAAATCTTTAATTTATTTCAGTGATATATATGCAGGGTGTTCCCTTTTTCGTGGGCAAGTATCAACTTTTTTATTTTAATTGGAACACCTGGTATAATACTTTCTTTTTTTAATAATGTCCTATACCTAAGTCTAACCGTTTTTACATTTTTAATTTTTTTTGCGTAAAATGACGTGTGCAACACATAAAATATACGCCAATTTGCCAATAAGTTTTGGTTAGTTAGTTAGTTGTAGACAAAGGATTCGAATAACGATTTCGTAAGAAATTTCGATACATATTAACACATACAACAAAAAGTACAACGCCGTCATAGCCACCTTACTCTAACTGCACTTATATGGCAACAGTATATTATTTGTGATTGATAAATGTTTAAAAGGAAATATTTCAAAAAGTAAAAACATTAGGCAACCCTATAAAAAATGCCTTAATTTTTAATTCTAAATATGACAAGATTATAAAAATAGGTAGTTTCCATTTAAAAAAGGAGTTTTTTGGCAGTTTTTTAATTAATTTTTCGCGTACCTTGTATTAATATGTAACGAAACTTCTTATGAAATCCTTTGTTTGAGTCATACAGTGTCTACAACAAAACTTGCTCAACTGAAACAATAAATGCTTTCGAATGAAGAAATTGGCAGATATTTTAAAGTAATATCCAAGTTGTTGCATTTAAAATAAGAAATATATAATATTCGCCTATGAAAAATGAAATGCACTGTATATATAAAATTAAAATAAATTAAAGGTTTGCAATACACCAATTAACTGTTATATGTAACTTTTGGCTCTATCCCCTATAGTTTCTGAAATAAAATAAACGGCCCATCCCGTACATTATGTGTAATAATTAAAAATATAGTTGTGGGGGATTTTACCCCTGATGTTTTTTTGGTTCGGTATTTGAAGGGCGAATTTTGAGCACGATATTGATGGTAATGTAGTGGTGATCCAAAATTTCATAGGGCGTCAAATTAGGCCCTTTTTCTATAGCGCGCTCGTTCACTTTGTACCTACAAGTTGTAAGGTACTGCTCGTACTAACAACAAACATTTCTTATGTACCATGATTGAGAATCCCGAACAATAATAATATAATAACTAAATAATAAGAATATAAAACCTGCGTGGACGGTTTTTTCTAAAATAGGACATCGATATATCTCACTAAGCTATTTATTTTGGTTAAAAAAAATATTCCACTTAATTTTGTAGAAAATTTTCTATTATAATATGAGTAAAAAATAGACATTTCACATAAGCCATTATACTTTGATGAAGCAATAAGGAGATCAAGTTTTTTAAAATCCGTTCAACATTTCACTTTAGTTCTTTAGATAGGTTAGCTTTAAAAAGCATACATTTTTTGATACAGTTTAAGAAATCTGAAAATATTTTCCACGGTCTTCTTTTGAATTTTTTAAAACAGGAAACCATTTCTCATTCTTATCTGACCACTCTGTACAGCGGCGCCAGTTTTTGAGATCAATTTCGATTTAAAAAATGTTATTTTGCGGCAAGTGTATCTTTTTGATAAAAATATTTGTTAATTTGTTGTCAAAAATTGCATTGCAGGGAAAGCATTACAGCAATATTTTTCGCAATAATTTTTCAAGGTGGGAACGCCAAATTTCAAAATAGTAGGGTGCACCTTTTGCAAAATTATTACTTAAAATAATCTTGAATAATCAAGGTTGGGTGTTTCAGACCTCTACCACATTTCGAAAGCATTTTTCGGGAATGTTCATAGGAGAACTTTTTTTTATAGTTTATTTTATTTCTGTTTCTTTATTTACCGTGGCGAGCCATTTGGGATGCTTCCGGCAGGTTGGCCATGTAAAGTTCAGATAAATTGCAACGATAGTGTTCCACGTTATATTTTTTAGAACCTACACATCTCGAATCGTTCCTAAATTAGAGTGAAGTAAATAAAAACTTGTATAAAGAGTGAGGCCAATAGAAATAAGAAGTTTGAATTGTTTTGCACTTAGGCTAAGCAGATTGTTTATTTATCAATATTATCGCAAGGGGTCGAAATTTAAATCTGTTTTACTTGGCCTAATATTTTTAATTTTAGTGCCGTATTATGATGTTACGTTCACTAAATTTAATACTTTTAATATTTAACGCAGTTAATTATTTGTTGATTAATATGCATGTTATATAATTAAGTATATATTATTTAATAGATATTTAATATGGAACCGTTGATAATCAAGTTAGAGAGGATTTTACAAGTGAATATCTATTTTTGAATAGTTATGGTTAGTTTTTAGTCTAATTATTGTAGGTTGAAACAAATAAATGGCCTAAAAATCAGTAGGTTATCCACAGATTTCCCTTCGCTACAAAAATTTTCCTTTCTTTTCTTTTTTTTTTGTTGACAACGATTTTCCCACAGCGAGGACGCCGGTTTGCTTTCCTCTTTTCCGCAAATTTCCGAACAAATGAAAATTAATTTTGGAATAAAATGTTGATGCAGATTCGCCAAATTTGTTTTCGTAACGAACGCCGAGTAACGTGGAACTTTTTTTCGCTGCAAACGAAAGGGGAGCGGCAAGGTAAAGTTAATGAAGTGCCTAAAGTTGGAAGAATTATTTCCTCGCCATAACAAATTAAAATCTTTTGAGGGTGCCAACAATTTTTCTGAGCTTTTCTTTCATAATCTGATTAAAATTTGAATAATCATCGAGGGCGAACCAATAGAACATAAACACAATGTACCGCAATTTCCGAGTCAGAATTACATTGGGTGTGTATAGAAAATTAAAAAAGGAAAAGTTACTAGTAACGAAAAAAATATTTAACAATTTTGACATTATTAATAACAAAATCATGATCTTGATATCAAATATTGAAATTCTCTATCCACCTCAATAACATTTTACAATACGCTCTTAAAGTTTTTGAGTGTTAAACAAAACGTCTCTATTATTTCTAAGGATATTCACGTCTCCTTGTAGTTTCTGCCGCAAGTCCTGCCAGGAATTAAATTCTTGAGCATATACCAAATTCTTCAACTATAATCGCAATCAAGAAGCCTAGACGGTTTAAGGCTTCCTCGGTGGCCACACGAATTCACTTCCACGGCCAGCCCAGGTCTTGTAAGAATATGTTTAGGCGGTGCTGAATGAAGTCCAATCAAAAAACAGAAATTACTCTACATCAAACTCTCAACTTCAACCTGAATATATCTTGATGTGAAATTTATACTATTTCATTTTTTAAGTATTTATTTACGACCTTAACAAGAGTATATTTTTATGAAAAATGGAATATTGCGTCAGATTATTATTATTATACTATATTAAAAAAATTACAATTAATTAAAAAGCTCTAAATTTATTGTTTTCAGCAAAAAAATTACTTGTATAATTTAAAACTGTTAAACTAACATACTTACAGACATTTGAATTTACAAGGCATATATATTTCTTGCACAGGACTTCCTGGTGCTCATACTTTTTACATGTAATTTAATAGTCCCTTTATCGTAAATAATATGTCTACTAAATATTTATAAGCTTTTTCCAGTTATATTATGTGGCTTACTAAACCAAAATTCAACCAGTGGCGCATATCAAAACTGTGTCGACAGCAGCTCTCTTCAAATACATATAAATACTCATTTTAAAAATGTATGGTTGATAAAAATTTCTGTTCAAAATAGTAATAATAATGATAATAAAATCCACTTGTTTTCATTCCAAATAATTTCAAATAATTCCAATTAAGTTAAAATGTTCGCCAGCTGAAAAATAAGGCTGTATATTTTCATATATAGAGGGAGGCCCTCAGCGCATGCACCTAAAGTTAACACATTAACCTGCACTCTTTTTTTTTAATGGTGACCTCCACACACTTAACACGTTTTTATCCGTATAAATTTAATAAAGTCTTGGCATATTTTAGGACAATACTGATACGAAAGTGCGACATCAACATACTTCTAATGTAGGTAAAACAAGCAAAAAAAAGAGTTTTTAAAACAATTCAAAAAAATCTGTGTCTGCCGATCTTTCGTCTATATAAGAAAATATCCGGATGGGTTTTCATAACGAATGCAATCACAGACCAGCGGGATTTGAAATAAAACGATGTCCGTAAAATCGCTTTTGAAAAATATAAATTTTATGCGTCCACTTTATATTTTGTCGAATAAATCACAATAAGGATTCTGCATCGTCAACAAACGCTGCTATATAATCATATAATTCCATTCTTCATTTATGTTTATATTTCTGATGTTGCCGAACCGGATCTTCCTTTTGACATCAAAGTTGACAATAAAACGACGAAAACTGCTCCCGGTTTACATAAATGCGAATTCTTAAAACGACTGCTCCCACTGCTGGCTACACACCAACGAAATTCTAGTTAATACTGTTTTCATTATTGTTAAAAGGTCCGCGTTGTCTGTTCCATTTAAAGCAGTCAGGGTGGCGGGATAAAATTTGATTACGTTATTCTCGTCGGGAATTTTTTGCGCACATTCGACATTTTAACGTTAAGTACGCTGTGTCAATTTTGGTCGACCGACATTCAAGTCAATGCTGAAATAACGGTTCGAGGAACATTTGAAACATTTCATAAAACTTCGTTGTACCTGGACTGTTTTCGAAAAATATTTTTTCTCGTCAAAATGTGATATTTTTTTATTGTATGCGTACACTTTAACGCTAACTCGAATCACACGGTCACTGGCGTCCTGCTATGATT